ATCTAGCAAGTGGATTTTGGCAAATCGAAATGAATCAAAAGGATAGAGAGAAAACTGCATTTGTTATCAAGGGAGGATATTACGAATTTAATGTTATGCCTTTCGGATTATGTAATGCACCAGCAACCTTTCAGAAAACAATGAACAAAGTATTAAAAGAATACATTGACCGATTTATGGCAGTATTTATTGATGATATTATTATCTATTCAAACAGTTTTGAAGAACATTACGAACATTTACAAATGCTATTTGATAAATTGGAAACTGCAAATCTAGCATTAAACAAAGAGAAATGTGAAATGTTTAAAAGAGAATTACGATTTCTAGGACATAAAATCAATAAACATGGAATCCAACCCGATCTCCAGAAGATAGAAAAAGTACAAAACTTTCCTGTTCCAAAGAATATGAGACAAATAAAGGATTTTTGGAATTAGCATTGTACTATCGCAAATTTATCAAAGATTTCTCTAAGATTGCGAAACCATTAAATAATCTTACAAAGAAAGGAGTCTATTATAATTGAAGCAATGAATGTAAAGATTCTTTTGAAATCTTGAAAGAAAGATTAACACAAGCCCCAATACCTGGATATCCAGACTTCAATAGAATGTTCTATTTATTTACTGATACCTCTGGAATTGGACTTGGAGCGGTACTTGCACAAAAGGATGATCAAGGAAAAGAAAAAGTAATTGCTTATGCAAGTAGAATCTTGAATAAATATGAGTAAAATTATAGAGCACAAGAATTTGAATGCCTAGCGATTATTTGGGCAGTCGAATATTTTTATCACTTCACTTCACTTAAACCTTTTATTTTAGTAACTGATAACGCTGCTTTAAAATGATTACAAACTTCTACTGTGAAGAATAGAACAAAATTAGCAAGATGGTTGTTAAATTTACAATAATACACATTTCAAGTTTAGCATCGATCTGGAAAAAATAATGCAAACGCTGACGCATTATCAAGAATCAACTATGAAAATAATGAAAGTTCAGATGAAGTAATCGAATGCTTCACACTCACAATTGCTAGTGAAGAAAATGTTGCAGATACAGAAAGAGAAATCCAAGGAAACATTTCATCATCTGAATATGAAGAAGACTTAGGAGAAAATTATCGATGGATCCAAGTACATTTTTCTGTATTAGATGTTCCTGGATGTCAAACAAAATGGCAATGGAATGGATTGCATAATAACAAAAAGTATTAAAAAAACAGCTACAGTTGCAATGAAAATGACCATCATTCTCATTGGTATTGCACTGAATGTTATAAATATGCCAATCTATATGGAAGCTACATATCCTCACCAACAAAACAAACTATTTGTAATTATAATGAACATAAATATTACGAATATTTAAATATAACAGCTTATGAAGAGGAAGCAGAAAATGAACAATCACCTGAACAATTAGAAGACAATAGTGGATCAGAATTCAACTTCAGCAAAGAAGAAATGGAATCAATTATCGATGGAATAGGACAAGATTGGAAACAGGACTTACACAATATTTTCTTGAAAGTTGCTGAATTTAGGCAAACTACCATTAAATGAATGAATAGTAGCAAACTTGAGGAATTTGCTCAAGAGTATTCTGTCAATTGTAACCTTTGTGATACAATCATTACTACCAACTTAGATCATGAATATATTGTGAGATACAGTCTTGGACAAGAACACCCTGAAATAATACCTGAAACTTTAATTAATGAAGTATTTTGGGATATACCTGAAAAAGTACAACAAGATGATGAAGCACGTCTTGCAGCAGTTGAATTGTTGAAACCAATTAAGAATCCTCAAACACG